TTTGGATCTAGATTTTGGATCCAGATCCATATCTTATATCCATACCCGAATCTGTAGAGGATCCAAAATTTGGATTTCGGATCCAGATTGGGTAAATTCTTAGCCCTAACCCACGTGGCCCTACCCAAAAGAAAATTCAAGTAGCACAAAAGAAATTGCATACAATACATGGACATAGAAATAAAAAAAATCGGGTTAGATCCAGATCGGATCCATCTATACCTAAATCCAACCCAAATTAGTATTTGGATCTAGATTTTGGATCCAAATCCAATCTTTGATGCATACCCGAATTCAGATAGGATCCAAATTTGAGTTTCGGATCCAAATTGAGTAAATTCTTAACCCTAGCCACAAGAAAAGTTGAGTGGCACAAAAAAAATTGCATAGAATACGTAGACAAAGAAATGAATGTGAAATTATCTATTACTAAAACATGCACATAAATATGGGAATGGGGCTGGGGTCGTACCCCATACCTCAGTTGTAGGGGCCTGTATTCCCCACTTAATTAACCCCCACCCAAAAAAATAAAATAAAATAAAATACCCATGCACAAAATAAAGAAAATGAGATGATAGCAGTATGCATCACCTGATACATTATCCATGCCGACCAACTTGTAATGCTTACTGTACACAGAATTGAACCCAAAATCCAATTAGTTTGTGAGGGAACAGATGATGAATGGGGTGTACCCAAAAGCTTGAGAATGGCTTTTGGTGTTTTCAAGTATGTGGAGGTGTGAAGGGCATAACCCTTGTATAATGTGATCACCATGGCACCTCCTACACAGAGAAAAATGCCTACAACCTTTGCTTGCCCCGTCCTCTTCTTTAATTGCAGCTTCTCCATTCTAGAGAGAGAGAGAGAATGAGAGCGGAATTATTGAATTACATAAGGATCCGGTTTCTATGCGGCCAAGCTTGCATATATAGAAGTGCCGGCCTCTTAATAAATCAGTTTTTCAGATGGATTTTAAGACTTAATTTTTAAGGATATGTAATCTCTAACATGGAGATTATGAATATGAAAAAATCAATAAGTTTTAAAACTAGAAATAATAATTCTACTAAAAAACATTTGGACCGTTAGTTTCCATTGTTTTTAGAAAGAACACCTACTTGCATCCATCTTTAAGATGAATGCTTTACACTTTCTGGACTGCATATGTAGAAATACGGTCCAGCCCGCTGAAACAATTTTCCATTACGTAATGAACATAATTCCAAACGAAGAATGTAATGTTCTCTCTATTTGACATCCTCATGTTCATATTTTTAGCAAAAGAGGGAACCAAAGGATTGAACCTATAGGCTTTGAAACAACATACAACTTGTTGGACTAGATAAAGGAAGGAAAATATTCCTAGTTTTCGCCAAATGCGAAAACTGGGGCATAGTGGCCGCATTTTGCTCATAAGTGGGATTTTGTTCCTTAAGGTGCCAAGCAAGTAGTGACTTACCAAGCAGGCATGCATAAGTTTGTGGCACACTTTCTACTGAGGGTGCAGTTTGTATAAGGCTGAAGCCCTAAACAATCAAAACAAGGCGCACCTTCAAATAGTATCGAAAGATATTGTTTTAATATTAAAAATCTTTTTGATGGACTGAAAATTTATTGTAAGATCTTATTATAAAATCCAAAGCTTCAAACACTGTCTCGATCAATTAGATCCATGAATATTTAAAAGTCTTGAAAATTGATGGTCTAAATAATGCATTACATGATGTACGATTTTCAGGACTTGAAATCCATTTCTTTTTAAGTCTATGTATCTCAAGGTCGAGATGATCGGGTTTTAAGAGCGCGGGAGAAACTAGTTAGTTTTACCTGAAAATAATGGCAAGGACAGAGATAATCACAGGGATGAGATTGGAGAGTGTGGCATAAAATGTAGAGGAAGTGTAATCAAGTCCACTGATGTAACTTATTGGCGTGATAGTGTTTCTGCAATCAATTTCAAAGTAGAATCAATCCAACATTTTAAATAAGTAATACCCACATATAACATTTAGCAAAATAATAAGACAGAGAGCAAAGCTCTCACCCTAATAGTCCAAGCAAGAAGATCTGCAATGTTTGTTTTAATCCTAGTGGAGGACGTTTTTCCCTGCAATAAACATGTTACTTAACCTTCATAATAGAGAGAATGCTAATCGCACACACGAGCGCACACAGACACACAGAGAGAGAGAATGATAACTGTACACACATGCGTAGACACACACAGAGAGCAAAAGAGAGAGAGTTTGGGGTACTTCTCATAAAAATAGGCAATTGGGGCAAGAGTCATCGTGGCCATTGCAGCACGATAAGTAACAAAAGCGTAAGCATTCATCCCTCGAGCGAGTGCGGCCTTGGTGATGAGGAACATACCAGCAAAGGAAACGCGCACGATGACCTGCGAGACAGCAGGGCCATAGATTGCCATCTCTCTCTATCTCCACTCCAACCCTAAGGTGTAAAACCAATCTAAGAAACTGGGTTGTCTAAGGCTACTACCCCTTATGCAATTTTAACAAGATGCTTCTTAAAAAATGTAGTGGACCCTGTTTCAAAGGGTAGTGCACCTTTTGGTTAAACGGAGGGAAATGGAGATGAAAATACATAATAAAAGTAGAAATTTATAAGGAAATTTAGATAGTTCATTTTACTCGAGCATAAACAAAAGTGTCAAGAAAAAGCATTAGATGAAAAGGAAGCCCAAGATTGCCTTGGGACATTAAAGAGTATCTTCTGTATCTCCCCCACCATACAAAACAGAAGAAAACTGAGAGACCTTTGACTCAGACCTTTTACTTTAAAGCCGAAATTTCAGTAAAAACATATATTTAAGATTTTGGTTGGGTTCGAAAAATACAGTGCCTGTAGTTTTACGCTTTGAAGGTATATGGCAAATCAACAAGTCACACGTGTTGTATGCTTTTGAAATCACATGCCTTCAACATATGAAACTTTGGAATATGCTTGTATTTGGTTGGGTTTGCAAAATGTAGTGCATGTAGTTTACGCTTGGAAGGTATATGGCATATAAACACGTCACACCTTTTGTATTCCTTTGACTAAGGGTGGCACTGGACCCGGATCCGGCCCGGGACCCGCTGGGTATACCCAACATAGGTCTGGGTATGGGTTCAACATTTGGACCTGGCGGGTTGGTCTGGCGGGTCGGATTTGGGACCAAAATTTGGACCCGAATATTATTTGGGTTTGGGTTCGTTTGGACCCAACCCGTACCCGTAAACTGTTGAAGATAAAATACTTCAAGCCCTATTTGTTTGGATGTATTAAGGATCGTATCACTTCGTTTCAGCCGAAGACTTCGGATTTTGGCCATAAATCGAAGAGAAGCGAAGTCGGGTGTTGCCGGTTCGGTCAAATTCAAGTTGTTTCGGCCAAATTCGGGCCGCTTCGGATATGATTTGGGTCTTCTTTGGTTCTGTTTCGGTCAGCAAAGAAATTTCTATATAAAAGGTTTTTTTTTTTCTATTATTTGTATATATTTTATGTATAATTATATAATTTATCTACATAAAATTTAAAAAAATTCTGAAGTCTTCCCCTGAATCTTCCGAAGCACCGAATTACTTCATTTTTCTCACCATACCAAAGAAGACTACGAAGCGAATCTGACAACATCTCACTAAACCGAAACCGAAAAAAACTACGAAGCAAATTTGACAACATCTCACCAAACCGAAACCGAAGAAGACTACGAAGCGAATCTGACAACATCTCACCAAACCGAAAAAAACTACAAAAATGAATACGACAACATTGATTTCTAGAGTTACGACCGGAAGAATGGAAGCCCTAAATTTCAGCCCATTCCGTCGCATGTTAAAAAGATAAAATTCAAATACATAAGCTCTCTCAACCGTTCGGTCAGTACTGGATAGTTGCAATCGATATAGCCTTTTACGTGAACTACTAAAAAAAAAAAAATGGATTATTTGGTCATTTAGAAAATTTTAGCCTTACCTTTTTTTGACAAATATTAGATCAATATGAAATTAAAAACTAAGGAGTGATATTGTGGAATCTTCATCAATCACCTTTAACATTGTGTCCATAAACATCAAAAGAGAAAAAAAAAAAAAAACATAAATAATAAAGACACGAGTAATTGGAATTCATTAATCACGTTTGCTATGGTGTCCTAAACATCAAATCAAAACCCAAAGAAATAGAAAAGGGAAATTGTTAAAGCCCCGGGTTGTAGTTCTCCTCATAATGCCCATGTTGAAAAGTTTCTCTCACTCATTACATCGACATTTTTTTTTCTCTATAATCCCCATATGTTTTTCAAGTTTATTTATAAAAAAATGTCCTTATTTCTCTCTTTTTCTCATTTTTTCTCTCTCTAAACCTACATTCTATTCACATTCATATATCTCTCTAAAAATATGAATAGATTGGTTTGTTTCTCTTTCTAAAGACATAATGGGTTTGGGACCTATTTAAAAAGAAAAATAGAAAAAAAAAGGGAGAGAAAACAATAACCTATATTTTTAGAGAGAAACCAACAAATCGATTCATGCGTTGAAAGAAAGAGAGAGAGAGAGTTGTTAAGAGTAACCAATAAACCTATTCATATTTTTAGAGAAAGCGATTTAGAAAGAGAAACCAAAAACCTATTTGTGTTTTTAAAGGAGAGAAAGACAGATGAATATGAATGGAAGGTACGGTAAGAGTGAGAGAAAAGTGCAAAGAGAAAACATATGAATGTTTATTTTAACTTTCTAAGGGTATTTTCATAATAAATAAAGGGTGCAGTTTGCATACGGATGTATCCGTAGCTGTAAAGGTAAGGTACGTCTTCAAATTTTATCATGGTATATAATTTTGATGTAAAATGTTTTTAAGATTATCTCCAAATCTATTTTTATATTTAATTATAAAATTTTAAATTTAAAAAATGGTTAAAATCAACTAGATCTATAAACATATGAAAATCTTGAAAATGGACGGTGTAGATAATATATTGTCAAATGCACTATTTCTGTGACTTAAAATCTTTGTATTTTTCTTGGTCATACATCTCTATGTCGAGATGATCAATCAAAAGGTTTTTCAACATTAAAACTATATTTTCCGATGGATTTTTGAGATGCATCCGTAGCTCTACATTATAAAGTTGCAACCTATAAACTTTTTCCATAAATAAAACTGAAAGGTACCTTAAGGGATGACGGAACCAAAAAAAAAAAAGTCTTTTAGGGGTAATGGGTAAGAGAGATTTTTTAACCCAACCTGGGGGATTTTAGTAATTTTTCAATTAAAAAAAATATCAACCAGAAAAACTAAAAAAACTGTCAGGGAGAAGGGAAGAAAGTTCAAGCACCAGAGTTCAACTATTTGACTTTGATATTTACCTGATAAGAAAAAGAAAGTATAAAAACAAAAATAAAAAATTGTCGCTTATTCCAATTTTTTCTTCAAGCTAGTATTTATTTCATCATTTACATGATAAAAATCAACACATAAAAAAAGTAAAAAAAATCTATCATAGCATTTTTCTTTTTTTTTCTAAGCATAAAAACCTCTTTCCTTGTATATGAAACAAGGACTCGCGTGATTTAGCAGGAGTATATAATTAAATTTTTTTTTTAAATTTTTTTTCTTCTTTTTACGGCCTAGATCACTCACAAGCAGTCCATTTACAACATATTAACTTGAAAAAAATAATAATAAAAAAATACAATAAGATATCAAGAACTTGAAGTCATTCAAAAACCTTCTTTCAATAATAAAGAAAAGACACAACCTATGCTTGGGAATAAAAGACATAATAAATAAATAAACAAGAAACAAAACAGGGTGCCGGATATTACCTCAAATGTGCATTTTAC